GTCAGAAAGGCGCACATTCACAAGGCTTTAAACAGCGTTATTTCTGGAGTCATTATGGGGCAAAGTACAGATCGTTTATTTTCAGCTTGTCACCAACGATCGCAACTATCAAGTGTGGCTAGGCGGACGTAGGAGCAAGTTTTTTTCTTTCTGCCTTTGCCCCCCTTTTACGTCACACACTTGTGAAAGCGCATGACCAGGTGGCCACAACTCGGTGATTCATTGTATATAAGCAGAGCGCTGCAGCGGCCTCCAGTTCCTACATCGTTGTTACTGCCAGATGGAGACTGAAAGGTTTTCGGAGCCCACTGACTGGCTAACCGGATGGGTCCGTGAAATGCTGTGCATCGATCAGCCAAAGCCCGATTTGCTGCTGCAGCACACGCTGTTGGACTTCGTGTAAGGCATCGCCATTTACTTGCCATTTCCCAGTTGGACAGTCATGAACTGCCCATTAAATACAGTACATTTCTTTTATTTACCATGTTACTATTGTCCAATGGGTTGGCTATGATCCTAGCCTCAGTTTTGTCTAGTTTTATTTCCCTTTTTAGCTTTACTGTTATTCAACCATTATTCAATCTGCATATATTGTTTTTTATTTGTGCTGAAAAGCTGGATTCTAAAATAATATTATTGAAGAGGCAGACTTTCCCTTCATTCATTACGGTTTCATATGTCAGTTGAATTGCATATTGGTCGCACGGTTTACACCCTTCGGAAGATGTGCTTCAGACGGATTCACGTCGAAGAGAGAAGGCAACCTTTAAAATATAGGTTTGCATGTAAAGGTGAAACATCGTGGGGTAAACGTTTAAAAGAAATTGGATGAGAAAGGAGGTAGTAGACGGTATAAAAGAATCCAGACTGAGAAAATGGAAATCTGATCTAAATGTTTCAATGATGAAATGTTACGCGATCGTGCAACATATTTATGGGCAAAATCCAGCAGTAGAAGAATTAACATTGTGTCACCTCATTCTGAAGGGCGTGACAATAAGATGGTAGAAAATCTTAGTACGTTATTTCCAGTTTTCAAGAACAGGGCGGCGGTATTTGTTCTCATTTCCCACGCAGCTTCATTGCTTAACACAGCTGAGCCGAATCGGAAATCACGTGGTCAAATGGCATTACCATTAAGAAGCAGTATTTGTCAGTGAGAACTGCAGTCCTAGATGCTGTGGAATCTTCTTCTACCTGGCAGTTTGACGTAAAAAACAACATTGGTAGAAGGAGAGTAAAAGATGCAGTAGCAAAGTGAAAAACAGATCGGCTTCAAACTCCAGAGGTGTCGGGTTCCATTCTTGAAAAAGACAATTTTTGACTTAACCATGTACCTTGTTACCTTGAGCAGTAAATTTATCCCACGTTACTGCGATGCAACAGCCAAGAAACGGGTAGCAAGCAGTTGACTTTCGAACAGTACAGGTAACATGGTATTCTTGTATGGTCATACCAGAATGAACGAAACTTAAGGCAATGCTGTCTGCTGCAAGCACCTCGTAGGGCTGAGACTTGAGGTGACCCACCGTATAGCTGCTTACTCAGCGTAACAATCAGCAGACATCAGCGGACAACTCCTGCTGTCTTTTTTAAAGACTTCTACAAATTAACTAATAGCCTCTGTGACAGAATGTTGTTGTCTAACCACCTGAAATGGAGTCTCATATTAATATTAGGTGCAATGCTGCCATGCGTATGAAAAATTCCTGCCACAGAACCCCTGGGCGAATTTACTTAAATAATGAAATCCGTGACTTAGTCTACATGATTGCAGTCGCATTGGCAGCGAAGCTCCACATTCTTGCAATGCAGTAAATGGATGCAAAGTATTCACAGCGAATCATGCCCATATATCGTGTTCCTGTTTCCATGCCATACTACCGTAAGTCTTTTCTTTGCTTATGGTGACTCAAAGATGGTAGATTACCATGTACGATTTCGGCAAACTCAGGTCGAGTGACCTATAGTTCCTTAACCCCCCCCCCTCCATTGCATTCTGCATGACAACAGCTGCTCCTCCGCCGTCAGCTGAATTATACCACTCCCTAGTATTAAAACTTACACATTACATCGGATACGTTTAAAAATACGAACCGCAATCGATGACTTTCTGTCACTAGGAAAAGCACCTTTAGTTGGAAGAAAATTACATAACAAACTTTTGCATCCGCAATGTAAAAATAATCCCTAGTGTTTGCACAGCTTCGAACGGATAAACCAGCATCCGTTTGACGTCACCAGGGTCAGTAGGCGGCGTAGCTTTTGATCTCATTGACCTTAGCCTATTAGTGACCGAGACGCGAGATCGTCCGATCATTTCGCGCGAGGAGCCGAGGCTGATGGACGGCTGTGCCGCGACCGTGACGGGACGGGGTCAGCCACGAATCGCAGCATCTGCGCCGTCACCGCCTTCGTAACGCAAACACCCGTACGCCTGTGCTTTCTGAGCCGGACGGTTGTTGACGTTGTCGGTGAGAGTTAGGCGCATGCTTCATGGCGTTTCCTGTCCCAAGCTGACGGAGCCAGTCGCTCTCGTTTCCAGTATTATGAGGTAAGACATTTTCTTTAAACGATTTACCTCGACTTTATCGCGGCCTTTCATTTAACAGCTGGTGTAAAGTGGCGTTCGTACGACTTTACGCCGCAGGCCAAGCTTAAGCTTAAAATACAAGTCTGCAGGGATCCCGTCACGGGATTAAACAGTTTTTTTTCTTACAGGGTAATATACGAAGATGCATCCGTGATGTAACTGTGCCAGACTTTTGATCGTCTTCTAAAAATGATCATTTGCACTTCAAACAGGTTTCTCGTTAATATCTCCGCTGAAGCGTCCATTTTTCACTGAGCAACTTTGTCTTTGCCGTTCTCAGCAATGTGTTCTTGGCATACTGTTTTGCATGGCATATCTTTACTTTTTCTGAAAGGCTGCCATTTTTATCGCCTCATTTGATCTCGTCGAAAAAATGTAATTATCAGTTCTGCATTCACCTTCACAGTCGTGCGTGCGTAACGCTTTCTCATCGTTGTTTTCGATAAAGTTCGTAACCGCCAGTCACTTACCTCTTTCCCTTTTATTCCGTACCCGAGAATCCCATAATCGACGAACTAAACCGCTGACTGTTCTGTGCCAATCAAACCCACATCATTCAACCTCTCCCTGACGTCGCGTACACGTGACATTCGGCAAACAGAGTAGGAAACCGACCTGCAGCGCATCTACCTCTTGATTTTACGACAAGGCCAGCATTACTACGGGATTAACATGGAAATAGTGACAGGGTAAGTGAAAAGTTTCGTTCTTTCCGAGTGAGAGACTTAGAGTGTGTAACGAAAATGGTAACTTCAAGGATAGAAATAGAAGAAGCGTGTGTTTTTCGCTACAGCTTCCACGAGTAACATGACTGCAATTAGACTGCAACCTAATGACGTAATCTTGCAATACTAATTATTCAGGTACACCTTCAGAATACACCTCACATCGATTATATGAAATTTATCGTGAGCAAGTTTCCTCACCTTTTTATGGGCGAATCAAAAAGGTAAGGCAACAGAAATGCACATGAAACAACGATTCTATTCATCGTACCTCTGCTATTCTCGATTGCCTATGCCGTTTGAATAACTGAACGACTTCATCACTTTCGAAAACCTTTTATAAATGAGTAAAGAATTATGGCTTTCTTCATAACATAAATAGCGCAAAACTTTTGAAGCAAGACGAAAGTTAACGCCGATATTATAAATCAACTGATCGGTATGAATTTCTGAGGATATAAATTAAACTTCTGATGTTAAACCTACACATCTTCTTATTATCTGCACGTTCTTGACATAACACTTGTTAAGGAAAATAATTCGAAGCTGCCTCGTCTTTGCTTTAGTCCATAAAATTCATCGATGTTTCAAAATCTGTATTTTATAACTGCGTATGGAGAGCTAAAATGAGCAAAAAAGTTAGGGAAATAATTATAGGATTTATAAACCCGTTTATTAACACAACTTTTAGTGATAAAAGATATATGTGCAAATCTCGAGCATATCGATTTTCCCTAGAGGAAACAGAACTGGCACTGAATTGCTGAAATGCTAGAAACTTATGCTTTCATCTTTTCAAGACTTAATGATATTATGCTTATCGTCGTTCTTGTCCTTTTAGCAGTAGAACTGTTCGCATCAATAATCGCTTCCACGAGATTCGATTACCTACAGAAACGCTAGTGATTTTGTCATTACCACCGTATGCCTCTCAGACAGTTAGAAACTCTAACTGAATTCTTTCTGGCACTTGAAGGACAGCTTTCAACAAATGAAAAGGCCTGAAAAATCCCAGTGACTAGCTTAACCTTCACCAACAGCTACGGTTCTTTCGCGGTATCTGTACTAATGCTAAGAAAGCACAGCAGATGATGCCGTCAATGAGAGAAGTGAAAAGTTTGTATGTGTTTTACATACGTGCCTTATTAAATTTTCCTTCATTTCTTTGTATAAGCCGAAACTTGAACTGCTTACAAGATACTAAACCTGTGATTTACTGTATTTTTCTGACAGGTGATGGGCTTCTTCTGTGCTGAAAAGCATGATTGTTTAATGATTCAACTCACTTAATAACATACTCATAAAATACGTTTCAGAGCCTTAAAATATTAAATTCGAAAATATGTACTTTCTGAAGAAGTTCAGCAACTCTGTAATACTTTCTTGAAAATTAGCTGTGCGAAGTGTTTAATTCAGTTTAGTTTACTCGGTCACCATATTCATAGACCTTCTCCAAAAGCAAATTTCAGTAACTCTACTACTATTCCATAAGTCCACCGCATATCCGAAGATATCTGTTGGAAAAGCAAGGTCGTAATGTATCCTTTTCTCAAGGTCTCCCTGTGGGTTCTGTGCTTTCTGGTACTGTTCTGAAACTTGACCACCTTCAGCCGTTATTAATCAAAAGAAATGTAGACTATTTTATTCACTATAACTGCTGCAACGGATATACATTTGGAAAACTTTGAAAATATTAAACGCTCGAATTCGTTAAAACAGACTGGGTATCGCGAACAATCATCCAGAACACTCCAGTTTCGCTACCCACACCTTAGGAGGAGGTTACGATGTTCTAGAGAAAAACGTTACAGCAGTTTACTAGAAGGATGATAAACACTGTCCATCTAAACGATAGTTATACAGCTTCATCTAATATCGCTATAGATTGGAATCTACCATATCCGCTTATTGAATCTACATCTTTCTTTCTATAAAAGGCCGCCTTTGTGGTCGAGATGCTGGCAAGTGTGCAATTTTCGTCATATCAACCTTTTTCTTGCGCCCAAAACTATTAAATCAGAAATTTAGTAGATTTAAATAAGTTTTCTTGCGTCAATACGTCTAACGTTAGCTTAACTCATAAACTTTAATTGTAAAGCATACCTTTTATATAAAGTCTTCTGCAATCACGTTTAACACTCCAACATTCAAAAGAGAAATTATCAGCCATCCATCAGTCAGTTACAGATAACTCATACAGTAGAAAATTTTGAAAACAGATTAAGAGACGCTTCACAATTTTTCACGCTTCGATTAAACACCTTGCCTCTTGCTGGAAGACACCAACCTACTATAGCGTCTAAAAAAGAACATGACTATCGAAACCTACAGTATGGCTATTATCGAGTTCTGCGAGTGATGCAATGGAAGCAGATTCTGTCTTCTTGCAGTTCCGTGTACGAACTGAGTATGATATTTCAAGTCATATCGTCTGTACAGTGGTTAGCCCAATTACTATGGCTATGCATTAAAGTCGGGTATTAAACTGTTGTAGCTATGTAACGAACCCGTCATTGCAAAATTTTTGTGACCTGTTGAAACAGAGCATTCCGTTTCACTTATTTGTTTAATTGATTATTTAATAGATTCATGTTTTTGTATGTTTACGCTAGTGCTCTACAGAAATATTAACTATTAAGCTGATTTTGACTTGACTGAAAACGGCCGTAATTTAGTCACTGATTAGGATATTTAGTCGCGGTGATGAGTTAACAGAAGACCGCTTCCGAAACGGAATATTTGTAATGATCGACTGCGTCTATCAGCCATTGGGTGACCAACGATGATCTGTCGATAACGTTCACCTATTTGCAGTTATTGAGTTACAAGATTATTATTCATCGGTATGAAGTTAAAAAATATTTCGTATTAGTCGTTATCTTTGGAGATGGCGAGAAATGCGACTCATCTAAGAGTTGTGAATGATAACATTTCGCTAGACGAAAATATGCTTAAAATTTTCTTATTAATAAACTGAAGTGATCCATTTTAGATGAAATATTTCTGACATTATCTCGACAAAGCAGATTTAAGCCTTCCATAAATGATAACACGACGAGTTTGTTCACACTTGGCAAAGGACGATGGGTTGCGTATTACTCATGAAAGTAGCATAGAACGGTTTACATTTACACAACGCAAACAATATGGTCGATCGAGTAATTGGTGGAAATCAATGCCAGTCTGTTTCTGAAGTCGATCCCTTGTTGGCTCCTCTAATGAGTTCCTGAAGAACGATCCAGCTCCGTCCAAAACGTCGGGATTTTGCTTAATAAAATTATATGGCGAGAAGATTTTGGTGATAAAGAACTTTCCACCTGCATAAAGATTACAAGCAATTTCTTTAAAATCAAGTAGATAGTTGTTATTTAACAAATATAAACAAATCCAGGAATGATTTATCTGCCTTGTTGTTTGTCATCATCTGAGGTATCATATTCAGAGACGGAATACCTCGATTAATGATTTTTGGCGCTTCTCTGAATGATTTAAGCGATGATGGTTTCTGCGTCAGAGGTCATTTACCTGTTTTAATGATCTAATTCAGAATAATGCAGTATATCTTTTGTGATATAATGCCATCACACGTCTCCCCTTTAAACATAAGTTCATTTTCTCTTAACGGTTTCGGTTGCTCCTGTAAGGTTATCATTGTTGTTCTTGTTGCCATCACGTCGTTTCTTTGAGGAAAGAAAGAAACAAGACAGACTTGAAGAAAGAGAAAGCATAAAGAAAGAAACGGGAACGTAAGAAAGGCGGGAGTGGGAAGTGTTTAAGCTTTGTCCATATTCCGGTCTCATAATTTAAATCGCTAATGACTGTCCGCACCGTGGCACTAAGACACATGTAGCTGGCACAGCGGTTTTGTCTTGGCTGCGTTTACAGCCTGATGATGGTGAACCGTAGGAAGCTGAAACTCCAGTAATAATTATAAGGCACAGTTCGCTGCAACTGCAGAATTCATATTTTTCTGCAACTCATCTGTAGCCAGTAGATGTTCTCATAAAACCAAAGCTTTGAAAAAAACTTCCTCTCACGTTTCCGGACCTTTTATCAAACCAAGTCAGCTATCGATATCTTAGCTCATCATGTTCTTGTGGTCACGTCTTCTTCTTCTTCGTAGTCTTAATATAGGCAATAAAGCATGGCTGAATGAAGAGAGGCATTTATTTGTAAATAACTGCTGACTGAAGTGCTGATTCTAACTAAATCAGAGATAGGTAAAGGAAAATACCATCTTAATCCGATGGCAACAGGCATCAGAATTTGCAGCATGACCATATTACCTCTATAATGGCAAACTGCAATCTTCTGCATCCAGCTGAGCAGAGGACACGTGGACATCGAACAGCATAATATCAGGGATTTAAAGTCTCACCGCATGCACTTATCGATGCACTACGAGCATGTCGTAAAATATGCACTTGTTGCAATCTTCCATCGCCGCTTCTCCTTTCGAGTCGCGGCACTTGTAAGTAAAATTTTATTCATTCATAAAGGAGATAGAAGAAAATTTTCTCCAGGATATCACGTGGCGTCTGATTTTTCCCTGGTATATTGTCCCGTATGGAATTGTTCGTCTCCATAAAACCCCTGTTCTTCAAACGGAAAGTTCTCGGTCAATCTGTGCTCTCAGGGTTAACTTACGGGTGCGAAACGTGGACTGTGAAAGAAATATACGGCAGGCTACTAAATGTTGGACAGAAGAAGAAAAATGTGAAAAAAGACGAATGCAACCAGCACAAATAAGAGTCTGCTATTTCAGTGCTGTCGTCAAGAAATTGAAGTGGCAATGAACTGGACACGTTGCAAGAACAATTGAAAATCGCTAAACCAGAGAGACATTATTCAAGACAGTGTAAACAGCCCGTAGAAAGACCTCCATATCGACGACAGGTTAAGTTTAAGAACTTCGTTAGATAAAGTATGATAAGAATTGGAGAAAACATGTTTATGGCAGTGAGTTGGAGAGGCCTTCGTCCAGCCGTGGATCGAAAAAAGTTGATTACGCTTATGATGATGTGGCCCCCTACTTTCGTTTCATTTAAGACTTTCCATTAAATGACAAAGAAGTTGGCTTTACACGAGTTTGTATGACGAGAAGGGGGCTGTTCCACATTCGAGATATTGCACGATTTACATATTACATATAATGGGTTGAAAATCCGTTTCTCACGTGAATAATCATAGAATTCGTTTGCAGCTTTGAAACGGTTTTTGATTAAATTGCACGCTGCCACGCAAAGTTAAAAATTTTTTAAACAAGCAATATTTTGACCTGAGCATTTCGAATATTATTTCACTGTTGTTGTTTAGCAATGCCTGTACGGGTCCTCACGGTGTTGTTGGAGTTTCTGTTCAGGAAATTACCGTGCGGATTCGCAACGGTTTTTTCGAAGACGAACAAAGAAATATTGTTCGAAATATTCTGAATAACTTATTGCTTCTCTATGTTTAATAACACTTTATTTAGGATGCTATGCTAACTTTATTAGGTTATCAAACGTTTCCAAGTTGTTATGAAAATACTTATGGGATTTGGAATCGATTATGACACTCTGAAAATAATTTTTCTTTTCCAGTTTTCTTCCACTGTCTAAATTCATGCCAAATTTTTTTTGCTCATTTTTAATGTAGTAGTACAGTCTTTGTGCTATTAGGCTTATCTTTTTCGGATGATACCTTGAAGCGTGCTGCACTGGCTGACAACGAATTACGAGTAAATTGCAAGCGTATTTGCATGTAATCCCTAATCACAGTTTTTAGGATAGACACTACTTATTAATGTTATCTGATAAGAATATTTTATCTTATATGCAAAAGAGACATTGTATTTACAATGTTCTACACATTTTACTTATGCAAACTACTTTATTTTTTAGATATGCACTTGATCTCCGTTTTCATGCGATACACTAAGGTATTACATTACACTTAGGTTGTTTAAACTGAGTCAGGTAATTGCAATGTAATACGAAAAAGGATTCTGATGTACAGAAAATGGTTAGTCACAAGTACATAACTTATGGAGCTGCAAACGTCTGCAGCGTTGAGTATGCTGCAGAAAACGGCGAAAAGCAGAAATCTACCAACGGATTTGCTTTCGCGAGGTGCTGTAACTAGCTTTTTCCCCGTGCCTCATCGACTTCAGGTTTATATCCTGGATCTTTATCACTTAGGATGAATTTGAAGATAGAGATATGTATATATAGATCTTGCATAAGGCAAAAGATGAGATGTATAAGATAAAACATACACCGATACCGACCCCACAGTCTACTACAGTGTTTTGCCGCTTACCTACCAAAATATTTGGAGCAATCTATTTACAGAGGCGTTTGCTTAGAATTAATCGCCGTTGTAAATGTATGTGCAACGGATTGCGTAGATTAGCTGTACTTAGCTCTTCCTAGTCTCAAATCTGACATTTATATGTGATAGCAACACTGACATTCCTTGCTGATAACGCCCAGTAGGTTATACTGATTAGCGACTCATTCACTGATTGACTCAGATTGGAGTGCGTAGGTGCATGTGTAACGCGAGCCAGCCAAGAGTGATCGTTTTGTCTATAGAGGGTAGGCGATATTGTGAAAACAGCCAAGTATGCCTATTTGCGACTTAGTACAGATAGTGAACCGAATCGTTTCGTCTCAGTTCCTTGTTATAGAAATCTCTGCTTCGACATCCAGCTGTCCACGGGATGAAATTCTATTATATTTACCTTTCATGCTTCACCTTCGGGTGTTTCCTGACCTTTTGGGTTAGACGGTATATTTTTCGCTTTCTATGTCATCCGTCTCAAGTCATATTGGTCTTTTCACGGTCTCAATCTCGCAGTGGACGTACTTGTGCTACTTAATCAAGCCTGACATCATTCCCTCTTATAACTTGGCCCAAAAAATCGTTGTACCCGCTGTTGTATTGTTTTAAAGAAGACTGATAACCATGCCACTGTTTATTATCTTAACGTTTTATTCTTCCTCTCTCTTGATCTGTTGTTCATATCCATTTGCAACAAGGCAGATCAGAGGTTTGGCAACTCTCTCCTGAGTAAGGATATTTGTAACTCATGAGTGGGAACATTTACCTTGTATTTATTCTGACAAGCGAAATATTTTTTGTATAATCTAAAGGGAAATAATTTATCTACAGCCGCAAAAATGCTTTACATATAAGAGGGTTCATATGTTGATTCCATGCATAACATCGCTCCATTATTCGTTAAGCCGTATTGCGCTGATTAACAGTTGCTTCATAATTCTGATACGCTTGACTGCCCTAATTATTTTTCATAGCAAAACAGTAAGTTATTGCAAATTTTCTGTATAGTAAAATTCAGTTTCATTTTCTGGTTGTAAAAAAATTCTGTTTTGGAGAACTTAAACACTTCATCGATCACACAGAGGTATCGCATTTGAAAGTGAACATGACAAGGTATCCTTATAAGCGTAGGAATGTTTACCGTTCGCTTCTAACTCGCTTCTGCTGTTGATCTCCTTTTGATGCAATTAACACAAATATATGGACAGCAAAAGGGTAATTTTAGGGTGTAGCGCGAGTTTACCTTTAAATAATAAGCTACATTTATAGTCCTAACCATACACAAGCTGAACACATTAGAAACAGCTCTATTACAATGAAGTTTTATAAATAGTTACCAGACTATACACTTATACTTTGATTTGCCCATCCCAAGGCTTCGCGTCATATAATAGTTTATTATTCGTTATTCTTGCTAACCTGTCTGATGCGTGACAACCGACGTATGAATAAACTACCTCGTGATTGTATATGCATTACAATTGTGGTTTACTATACATTCAGTACAAGTAAAAAGCTGACCTTGTTTCGATAAAGATATTCAGTCGCGTATGTATGTAAATTTACGTTTCGGAGGAAAATGAATCCGCTGTGGGCAACAGATAACAAGTTTCGATGGTATCGTTACTGAATTTGTGGTGATACATCGCGTAATTAGTCAGATGTATTGTTATAGTACAAGGTGGTTCTCGATGTTTCCACAGGGAGTTGAATATAGACCGTAGAGTATGCCAGTGGATGCCAAAAGGGAATCCGTCCTCCCATCCTATGTGAAAACTGGTTTTCGACTTGTCTTGTAATTGATGTGGTTTTGGAGAAAAGCTCTGCCTTTTCGAAGAAATATGACCATTACCGTGGATCTCCCGTTTTAGGTCCGGGTTGAAAAAGGTTTCTCTTTCTGAAGGTTCACCTTTGTCTTTCTACAGGCACAGACAGTGTACTGGTAGATCAGTTCTGGCATCTACTCTGCTCTTATTTAGTCATGCGTTCTTTATCTTTCGACGTGCTCATGAAAATGCATTGTCTGCTTCCGATACTGCTCGTCTTAAGTGTATATTTTACATATTTTTTTTTGTTTTTAACGTTTCGAAAGACAGCGGAGAATTATCGTCGCGTTTATGTTTCAGCTGCGCGGATCTGTTTCACAACCCACTGCCGGATTCTAATTTCGCCTCTTTTCTTGGTACCCTTGCAGTCATGAGCGTCGCAGCCGCCGGAGCCGCGGCATTTTATTATACGACTACGTCGAGCAGCATGAAGATCAAACCCATTGTAGACCTGAGGCAGCAGACCGTTGAACTACCGGTAAGTTTTTTAAAAGATATTACAAAATTGATCTTTCAAGGTTAAATGCTATCATCTAAAATGATTTTTTAAAAAGGATTAAGATCTCTGTCCTAACTAGACGTTTTTACTGGGATTTTTGGACATAATAAGAAGTAAAAACAAGACAGTTTTTACTGGACTGTAGGAAGAGATTTTGGCTCTTTCTTTAAAAATAGAGAAGTTTTTTTCGCATGATAGATCTGATGAAAGTTTCCAAGAAATATAAGCAACGAATAGGAAACGAACCGGAAAGATTTATGTATAGAAAGGGATTGAAATACTTGGTCTTTTTACGGTCTATGACCCGATGGACTATTACGTTGCGTTGTGTATTAGGAAGCCATTCTGTGCTGTTTTTCTGTATAAAGATAATTAATATCAATATAGTAACAAGGTAGTAACAAAATAGCAGGAAGCTATAATTTGCATAAAATAAGCCGCATCCATACGGATAGCAACATTTGGGGAAATGGGTGGAAGCTCAAAGACAGCATGCGGAAACAATTTTGTTAGATTACGCTTAAAATAATTCCGTTCAAGCAGTATAACATTCATTTATTCATAACGAGAGAGTCTCACCATAGCTAACCACGCTCAACGGAGCAGAGGAACAGAGTGATGCAGTAGCAATGTTGATGAGTCACGCTATCTTCGACTGAAGTTTCAACAGAATAATTTAAAAGAAATTTAATCAGAGAAAGATGATGGAATCACAGTAGGGTAAAAATAAGCGGAAGACAAACAGCCAGAAGTAAGCGTATGTTGTTAGCACATCAAGAATCCTGTTTCTTCGCCCAGTCAGAAGCAAGGGAACTTTGTAACTGATGTAATGTCAGTCAGCCTTACACTTTCATGATAGAGTGCTAATCGCAATTTCATTACCATCAGTCAAGAGTGCCTTTTTTTTTAAATTGCACAGTCCACAGCGACTTTGTAGTAGGCATAGCGTGTATTCTGGTAATTCCTTTTCGCATAGTGCTACTCATTTATCA